ACCTAAACAGCCGTGCTTAAAAGTTTACATACCCCAGTTCTTAATACGGTGTGTTGCCCTCTTTAACATCAATGACAGGTTGAAGTCTTTTGTGGTATGTGTGGATGAGGCTCTTCCACAAATGGGGCTCTTCCACAAATCTTCTCAAATGGTAAAGCCGCCCATTCTTCCTGGCAAAATGCCTCCCCTATCTGCCTCCCCTATCTGCCTTCCTGTCTCTCACTTGCTCGTCACTGCTGAGGCATCGAGATCGATGGCCTCAGTGGATTTTTTTTTTTTAATGGACAGCTTGGACCAATGGCTCTTCGCGCCTCTAACACAGAGTAGAGGCTGTAACGCTCTTGCCTCACTATGTTAGGATACACAAGCAGTGGGGAAGCCCGCTGCTGTGTAACCCAACTACCTGTCAAAAGCTGGATGCAGTGCTGCCTGTAATTAACAGGCAGCGCTCTGTCCATGACAGGTTATACAGAGGGGAGGATTTCCCTGCTGTGTAACCTAATTGACCCAGGGGGGCCGTTCCTCGTCAGGTTTGCAGGCGCGGGCTCCTCCTCCCCCTGGCAGGGCATCTGCCGCTGGTTTGGCCAGTGCGCAAGCCGCGTAGTGTGCCTGCGCCATTCCAAGCCACAGGTGCTACTCAGGCTGGGGGAGGACTTCAGCCTTCACCACTTGCCCTCAGCCTTGTGATTGGACTCTGACTGCGGAAGCTTCCTGGTTGCCCTGGCAGCCAGGGGGCGGTCCCGGGTTCCCTGTGTATTTAAAGCTGGTCAGAGCCTTGACTCATTGCTGAGTTATTCTACCTCATGGTGAACACCCAGCTCCCTCCTGTTAACCTGTTGCTTGATCTGACTTCCCGGCTACCGACCCTTTTGCTTGACCCTTCGACTACGATTCCTGCTGCCCGCCATGACCCGGAACTGGACCTGACTACCCAATTGGACTATACTTTTGTACTGCACTTTTTGGACATTATTCGTCCCTGCCAAGGGGTTCCACACCTGGCCCATTATTCCAGCCCTGACAAGCGTAGACAGAACATCCAGCTTACCTCCACAAAGAGTGATTCCACCAAGGTGTTGGATCCATCGAAGGAGTTTTTGAACTTGATCACCAAAGACTCCATTTCTCTGATTTCCAGTTTAAGGAGCTCAAAGTCCAGTTCAGTGTAAGAGACACCACCCAGCTCAATTATCTCCACACGACGGGTCAGGTTCTTCAGCTTCTGTACGTACTCAGTCAATGAGGCTTGGTAACTTTTTATCTAGGATAGAAAATTGATTGCTTTTTGCTCTGCATTATTGATGATAGAACTCTTAGCAAAAACGTATAAAGTTTATAATAAAATGTATCGTTTAAAATAATCGTTTTTAATAATGACATTATATATCTATATACAAATACACACTGCTTCCATAAATGCTGGTTGTCAACCTGTCACGTGGTTAGGTTTGTTTTTGACACAATTGATTCACTGTTTTTTTATGTCGCAGTCTGCTGGGCTGTAATGCTGATTCTTTTTCTTAAGTAAACTGAGTCATTACAAAACAAGTATGCATATAAGAACTCACGACTTCTCTCATCTGTACAGTTGTTTTGTATAACAGCCAAGCAACAAGCATTTTCAGCAATATCGGCCCTTCTATTTCTCTCATCGTTGGTGCAAATACACTTCTTTTGTAATCCCCTAGTTAAATCTTCCCCACCAGTTTTATAGTTACATGTCTCCGATCCAATGAAATATCGCTGGTGAGGCTATGGAGCTGTTGAGATCTTCTGAGTCTGGTCCATATACAGTATGTATGCACTCTGCTTTTCCATTATTCCTATGAAAATCTCATACTCCAGACTAACACTCCATAAAAATAAATGGGAGTGCAGAACCTATGTATGGTCCCAGCAGGCAAGATTGAGAAGTAGCTGTTAGGCCTCCTCAGTGATTTCTTGCTGGATCAAGGACAGCTGAGTATAAGACTGGCAGGGGATGCTGGGGGCAAAGGAAAACTCCATTATAAATGTAACTAAATTAATGGGGCAGTTACAATTTGAAGCTACTATATGTTCGGCTGTTCTATACATAAAAACATGACAGTAATAGGCACAAATGGTAGAAACAGCCACATTATACATTCAATGACAGCACTAAAAAATTAGTACCTATTACCCAGGGCCGTCTTTAAGGCAGGGCAAAAGGGGCACTTGCCCGGGGCCCAGGCATTGTTGTGGGGCCCTGCACCCCATAAACTAGAGCTGGTGAAAGTTTGAAACGTTTCTGTACCAGCCGTCTAGTCTGCACTACCGCTTTCTGACGCTAGAGGGCAGCAGCCTCCTGTCCCACTCCCTATGTGCAGCAAAGATCTCTGCAGCCCGGGATGTCACCTCCCACTCAGCAGAGGCGGAAGATCGATTTGGCTCACACTGCTTCATTGTCCTGCCCTCCTTCCTCCATGGCTGCAGTCTCATCCTCCTCCTGTCCACGATGAGTGCACATGGCTGCTGGGTTGGGCTTCTATCTGGGTGGGTAGGGGGGTGGGGGGTGGTCCGGTTAGGTGTGGCACTGCTGGGCTATGATGTAATGCTGTATAAAAATAATAATGACACCTGAGCATGTTCCCCCGGTGTCATTATTATTATTATGTCCCCCCCAGTGTCATTATTATTATGTCCCCCCCAGTGTCATTATTATTATTATGTCCCCCCCAGTGTCATTATTATTATGTCCCCCCAGTGTCATTATTATTATGTCCCCCCCAGTGTCATTATTATTATGTCCCCCCCAGTGTCATTATTGTTATGTCAATCCCCTGGTGTCATTATTGTTATGTCCATCCCCTGGTGTCATTAATAATAATAATAATGACACCAGGGGACATAATACTAATAATAATGACACCAGGGGACATAATAATAATGACACCAGGGGCACATAATAATAATGACACCAGGGGGACATGCTCATGTGTCATTATTATTAGTGTTGCTATTCTATGCAGTGGAAGTGGTAGGTGGCAAATTATCCACACATTTATCATGAAAGTAGAATTCTGAGGAGAGTGAAATGCTCTCTTCCCCCTAGTTACTGAATCTGCCACAGGTTGGCTCTCTTGATCGAGAACTGAGCGATCACATACCGCTGATCACTCAGTTCCGCACTCACTCCCTCTGCAGAGAGCGGTGACTGTCAGTCACGGCTCCTCGCAGGAATACCCCCCCCCTCCCCTCTCTGATCCTCCAACGATGACTGGAGGGATGGATGGGGCGGACACAACCTCTAGAGAGGTAGAGTCAGCTGTCAATCAGGTGGGGTGGATCTGGACAATATTTTTGGATCCATCGCAGGTGCAGCGTGGCTCTGCTCTGTCAGCATATAGCGGGCAATATTGCATGGGAGCGTGGTGGGGGGCCCAAGAAAATGTTTGCCCGGGCTCCAATCAATATTAAAGACGGCCCTGCTATTACCACATTGTTGTCATTAGATAAGACTGACAGAGTATGACACCACAAGTATGAAGAAATATGAAGAAAACAAAGCAGTACGTGCAGTTTGTGTTTTTAATAGGGTTGCACCTATACCGGATTTGTGCTATCGAGTATGAGTTCCGATATTTTGCTTTCGGTACTTCTGCTGGCATGGAGCCAGCTTCCTAGGCACCCAGGAAGCCGGGCGGCGGGTAATGACATGTCGCCCAGCTTCCTGATTGCCTGGGAAGCCGGCTCCATGTTGTTTCGCCGGCTCGATTGTATTTGGCCAGAAAACCAGCTTCCCAGCCAATAAGCATCAAGCCAGCTTCCCAGCCAATCAGGTAGCCGGGCGGCGAGTAATGACCAGCCTCCCGGCTTCCTGATTGGCCAGGAAGCCAGCTCCATGCTGATTGGCTTGGAAGCTGGTTTCCACGAGAAGCTGGCTTCATGTTGTTTTGCTGGATCGATTGTGTTTGGACGGGAAACCCACTTCCCAGCCAATCAGCATCGAGCCGGCTTCCCGGCCAATCAGGAAGCTGGCCGGCGAGTAATGACCAGCCTCCCAGCTTCCTGATTGGTCGGGAAGTCGGCTCCATGCTGAGTGGCCGGGAAGCCAGCTTCCCAGCCAGTCAGCAAGGAGCCAGCTGTTCGGTTGGCTCAATGCTGATTGGCCGGGAAGCCGGCTTCGCAGCCAATCAGCATGGGCCGTCATCCTGGCCAATCAGGAAGCCGGGAGGCGAGTCATTACTCGCCACCCAGCTTCATGATTTCCCGGGAAGCCACTTCTATGTTCCCCTACGGAACTGCCGGTCAGAGGAAATCTTCCTCTGACCATAAGTTCCGGTATTGGGGAAGGTATTGGAGCATTTTGGCAAGTATGAGTACTCGCCCAAATACTTGGTATCGGCACCGATACTAGTATCAGTATCGGTGCATCACTTTGATATAAAATTTGTGATAGTAACCAATACAGTACATATTTAAATCATATTGGGGTTTTAAATGTATTGTAGCTACTGCAATGTTCAAAATGGGAGAATGCTACCTGTCAGTTCACTAGGTGTGTATTTGTTGTACCAATGATGACAATGTGCTGCAGTCATGATATCAACTACCGATGATGGCTTTGGGAGCTTCCACAGGATGTTCCTGTGTTTGTGGACACTCCCAATGTCCCACATATATTTAGAGCAATTCAAATCTTAGTTAATTTACAGAAGAACATGTAGGGCACCTAAGTTCCCCCTCAGTAGATTAGAAGTGTGTACCTTAGGCTCCATCCAACCTCATGTGGACGACTGACCAAGGCCCTGGCCCCTATGGAGATCCATCAATTCCATAAGGCAAGATGAGATCTTTAGGATTAGTGGTGGCATGTGATGAGATTCTAATGTTTCCTAACAGCCTCTTCAGTAGTGTATGGATTAAAAGATCCAAATCTCTGTACTGTTATTTTTGTGCCACAAAAATTATGGCTGCAATGATTGGTGGGTGGGATTTAGCACCCTTGGAAGAAGCTTAGTCCTAGCAGGAGCAGATTTTCAAGTGCTACATTAGGTGGCACAAGGGAACCTAGCACTCTGGTATACAAATCTTTGAATTAAAAATTATCTCAGTTTCCTTCAGCTTACCTTGGTGATCTCCTGTTGGACACTGAAGCTCATTTCCCGGCTGGATATCTCTAGAACTTCCAGACGATCTGCTGGGAATGTATTGTCGGGAAGGATGACAGAACACTGGCAGCCACCCTGTTCATTCTCTATGCCGGTGGTGTTTATCTAGGAAAGAGTAAAGTATTGACAAAAGTCAGTGACAGCAAGTCAAAAATATTCACCCCAACAGACTGTTATGTCTCCTAAAATGGTTTAATTATGGAGTATATAGCAGAGTCTGCTATGAGGTTTACCATCTAAGCTGACCAAAGATTATCATCCAAATTACCAGTCATCATATGAAGGGCATTTACTATGGGAATAAAGACTGTTCACTCAGTTTTGGGTGAAAAGATATGTTCTCTCTGAATTCCCAGTTGCAAAGGAAAATAAATATAAAAACAGCATTTATGCTTGTACATGATTCAATGGTTTTATTGAACATGGCGTCACCTTATTTACCAAGTTGAGTAAACATTTGTAAGGTGTACATTTGTCTAAAATGTGTGTAGAATGTCTTATGGGTACAATGGCTTATGTACAATGTGTGAAGAGTTTAACGTGTATAATGTCTTCTGGGTACTTTTTAACCAACAATCTAAAGAAGACCTAACAATGTGTTAAAATTTAAAGTCATCAAGATTAAAAAATGAATGCTGAAGCATTGGCTGTCATTGTCTAATCACCAGAGAGAGCTTGGAGTTATTATAGCAATAGTTATGTTTTCTGCAGTTTAATAATTGTATTCACTTGGTTGGCTTAATTGTAGAATAATGCTAAATTTAAAGCAAATCTACCATAAGGACCCAGTCACACAATCTCCAGTGTGTTCCGGCATGATTAGTGGCCGGAATGCACTAGCTCACATAATGAAAGCCTCCCTGTGTCCTTGGGCCGGAGGGGGCGTGGCAGTGCCTTTCAAGTCAATGGCACCGCAGACACGCCCCCCCCCCCCCCCCCCCCCCCCCCCCCCCGCCCGCCCCCCCCCCCCCCGCACGCCC